TGGGTCATCGTACTAACAGAGGATGGATGCACTGTTTCTCCTTCTTGCTCGCTTGTTTCTGCTGCTGTCTATACATAGCAGTGTCCTATTTGTACAGTAGTCTAACACATTTAGCAGTTACGCTGTTAGTTTATGTGATGTACCTTTTATGCACATTTTTAATATTGCTGTCCTGGGATATATATATGGGGTGTTCGGCTACTCGTGATACAAACTTTCCCAGTAAATTCTACATTCAAAATGTAACCAAAAAGTCCTAATTAACTATGGTCCTAATCTCAACAGTTTCGGAGTTATTCCCCTTTGTCTGATTATTTAAGATTTCACGACCTTGCTTCAAATAAACAGTGATAACTCCCAAATTGAAATGTTTAGGACAAATCCGTTGACACCATTGAAAACTACGTTAAATTTTCAATAAGATGTGATCAATACTAAACTTGTAAACGTTGGTGAAATAAGTGTTTTAGTTGCCAGAATTTTGAAAAATATTTTCTTTAAATGTTGAAAAACTTACTAGGGTGATTCTAAACTACTATTTCTAAATCTAGTCGCCAGCATATTTCAGAAAATGTACACCATTTAATTAATTTAATACTTTTTAGTGGCGTAATTGCTTTTATAATTACTTTTATCAAAGATGAAGATATTGATGAAGGAAAGGTAAAAACCGTAGGTGACGGATTGGTAAGGTCTAAAATTAAAAAAAGAAAAAATGAAAAACTTAAGGAAATTTTGAATGAATGAATTAAAAACGTTTTGAATCTTAAAACACTTTTATTCCGGGTAATAATAATACAATAATCCTTTAATCAAAGTTGCAGTCGTGTTGTAACCAATTGCACAATTTCGGTTTCGAACCCAAATTAAAAAAGGTTGAATAAATTCATTCAAACGTTCGAAACCGAAATTGTGCAATTGTTTACAACACGACTGCAACTTTGATTAAAGGATTATTGTATTATTATTCCCCGGAATAAAAGTGTTTTAAGATTCAAAACGTTTTTAATTCATTCATTCAAAATTTCCTTAAGTTTTTTTCATTTTTTCTTTTTTTAATTTTAGACCTTACCAATCCGTCATCTACGGTTTTTACCTTACATTCATCAAATTCTTCATATTTGAAAAAAATAATTAAAAAAGCAATTATGCCACTAAAAACTATATTAAATGGAATACGTTTTCTGAAATTTGTTGCTCGTCTCTAGGTTTGGAAATAGTAGTTTTAAATCACCATCGTAAGTTTTCAGCATTGAACAAAATTTTTTTTTATTATTATTTTAAAGATGAAGAATTTAAAGGAAAGGTAAAAACCGCGGTTGACGGATTGGTAAAGTAGAAAATTATAACATTTAAGGAAATTTTGAATGAATTTATTAAACTTTTTTAATTTGTGTTCGAAACCAAAATGGTGCAATTATTTACTTATTTACCAAAAGAGGTTTATTCAAAACGTTTTTAGTTCATTCATCCAAAATTTCCTTTTTTTTATTGTTATTAATTGTTCAAGCGGGCCACGAAAACTAGTGAATTTAATTGTTATTAATCTTTCCACCGTACCAATCCGTCAACCTTTTTCTTCTTGGTATACCAACAAATTGCATAATTCTAGCTTTATTTCCGATTTACAATATTTTTTTTCAGATGTCTGAAATAGGCATTATAAACTAACTGACATGTGTGATGAACGGATTTCATCGTCCGTCACCTCCCTGTAAAAGAATACCTCGGTTCACCTTACCATCAGTTTGCTGCCATATTTTGGTAAAATTCTTGAAAAATTCCTCCAGAAAAACCTTTATCCCATTCTTAATACCTCCACTGAGTTTCATCACGTCAATTCGTGATCAGGTGATATCTCTCCATCAATTAACAGTGCGGTAGATATCACTTCGTATTCCTTTGCCTGGAAGCAACTCTGCTTGGTACTCTCCTGGAAGTTAGGCAAGACTTCGATCGAGTCTGGTACCCATGCTTGGTCTGGAAAGTCTTATCTGATCCTAAAATACTGTCTCCGTTAGGAAGTTTCAAATAAAAATTCAAAAATATCCTATCAACCATCCATTATCCTGAAGTAAGTCTTTCTGGAGGCAGCCTCATTGGTTCCATCCTTCATGGGGTATCATCCTGGCTTGCTTTGGAAATTCGAGGGCATCATACCATTTACTATTTCTAAAAATTCCATTTACCTCAAGTTCCATTTACCGTAACCTAATAACCTCTCTGTCCAAGCTGCATCACCTAGATCATTTCTTTGTTCATCTGTTCCAAAAGTCTGTAATTATCAATAAATATTTTTTGTTAATACTTTATCGCTGTAATGGCTGTAGAAGTTAAACATAATCTTCTATAGAATGTAAGAGTCATAATCGTCTGAGCTTTTATCTGCTTATCATCCGAACAATTATCCATTACATGACAGGTTGTGTTTTCTGGATACTGCATTTTCTTAACAGATTGTCATGTCGGAAATAGTTTACATTTATCTCAGTCAACTTCTTGCTGGATTCATGTTCTACGTTCTTTACATACTGTACTTGCACATAAATCCAAAACAACAGTTAAAAACCCCATGATTAATTTTAAAGAATTTAATTCGTTCAATTTATTGTTGCTTTTCACGATGATTTACCATTAATGAATTATTGAATACACCTCACTTAAGATAACTGGGAACTTGCAACATACTCTGAATTATGGCGAGCAGGTGGTTCTATTTGATTAATTACCTCATTCTAATGTCATCACGAATGGTATTAAGCATTGTTTGAACATGCGGGAGCAGTTGAGAAATAATTCAAAACCAAAGTTCGCCAATAACCGCCCAAGATACAGTTTCCACCCCAAAAAAAAACGTTTTAAAATACTTTACCATAAAAATATGTACGACGAAAACAACATATTCGAAATACTTATCCATTATATCCAATATTGATTACACAAAAAATAATCTAATCTGTAGTAAATGTTTGACAATTGTTGTTTTTTTCCCTTAGTGTGTAAAAACATATGTTGACCCTTACAAGATCATAAATTTGGCCCTTGTTGATTAACAGCCGATGTCTTCCTACACGTTGACAAGAGGCACTAAATACTTTCTACCCGCCCTGCGTTAATGGGTCCACGGAGAGGAAATTGAGTCCCCGAGCTTTCCGCCTTTATGGTAAACATGTGAAAAGCCGCTATTTCCGTATTTAGAACCTGGCCGGTTGGTTCCGATTTACAAGATTTTTTCTTCAGATGTCTGAAATAGACATTATAAACTATGACTGACATGGTGTAAATGAACGGATTTCATCATCCGTCACCTAACAGTAGAAAAAATTCGTTTTGACCTAACTACCCGTTTGCTGAGTTATTTTGGCAAAATTCTTCCAGAAACACTTATATCTCATTCTTGATACCTCCACTGTCTTTCCTTCACATCAATTCGGGTTCAAGTGGTATCTCTCCGTTATTTAATAGAGCTACAATGCGGTAGCATTGCATCTTTTTTGACTAGAAGCAACGCTGCTTGATGATTTTCTAGTGATCAGGAAAGACTTCGATTGACTGTGATAGCCATACTTGATCTGGAAAATCTTATCTAATCCTAAAATACTGACTGTCCGAAGAGAAATTTCAAATAAAAATCAGAACATCCTAACCATCCACTGTCCGGAAGCAAGTCTTCCGGGAGGCAGCCTCATTGGTTCCATCCTCCTCTTCTTTTTGGAAGAAAGAAAAATTCCTCCAGAAACACTTATATCTCTTTCTTGATACCTCCACTGTCTTTCCTTCACATCAATTCGGGTTCAAGTGGTATCTCTCCGTTATTTAACAGAGCTACAATGCGGTAGATATCATTGCATCTTTTTTGACTAGAAGCAACGCTGCTTGATGATTTTCTAGTGATCAGGAAAGATTTCGATTGACTGTGGCAGCCATACTTGATCTGGAAAATCTTATCTAATCCTAAAATACTGACTATCCGAAGAGAAGTTTCAAATGAAAATCAGAACATCCTATCAACCATCCACTATCCTGAACCAAGTCTTCCGGTAGGTAGCCTCATTGGTTTCATCTTCTTCTTCTTTCTTGAAGAAAGAAAAATTCTTGAAAAATTCCTCCAGAAACACCTATATCCCATTCTCTAGCGCTGTTGTAACATAATGGTATAACTAGCAACAATGAACATGGCTGAAAATCATAAAATATACACCGCTTACTTAGAAGCATAGCAGAAATTACTAAAATCACCTATTACTACCACTATTCAAACATTATATAACACTAACAAGCTAATCCCTATTAGTTTTTCAGTTTTATATCACCACAAATATAATTCTGATAAAAATAAAATAGTCGAATTAAATTCGAATCTTTAGAAACCGATATACAATATTATGAACTAAAGACATTTAACCTCTATATCCCTATTAAAGATGTTATTGCAACAACAACCCTCATAAAAATATATATAAATACATTAATGTATTAAAATAATTTTGATTAACCCTGATACAAAAGGTACTCCAAAAAAGGATTCTTTCCAAAAATAAAAAAACCTTTCCTTACAGTACTAATAAAATATAACTTATGAAAACCCTATTCAGTAAACTTATTACTAAGAATATAATTATTTTTTGGAAAAAAAGGAAAAAAGAATTAATTATAAATCAATTATTTCAAATTAAACTGATTCAAACAGTTCTCTCATCGTTACTAAGAAGAAACTACCTTCCTTTTTTTTTACGAGGGTTCGCAACAGCAGAGGTCATATAAACCCTCAGGGTGCCGGTGTTTTTGAAAAAAAGCCCATTTGTAAGAAGAATGTCGGATTCGAATGCAGGGCTGCTGGATTCGAACCCGGGACCTTTACCTTACAGTGATGAGCGCCGTGTCAAAGACTAAACCTTGCGGCCACCGACACCCTCCTTCCCCTTATTGTTTGAATTTTATATTTTATTGGAAATTGCTGAAAGTTGATGTGTGTTTTTTTTGTGTGTTTTTTCAGACTGCACTTCACTGGGGAGCCAAGCACGGTAATCAAGATGTCATTAAACTGGTTGCAGGCAAACATGGAGCTGACGTCAATCAAAGAACGGTACGAATCACAGTACAATATAATTTTTATTCGAAAAGCTTCGTATTAATAAATAAATAAAAACTTAATTCTATACGGATTATTGATTTTGAAAGCTGACGGTCGGACATCTTGCAGAGTTATTCTAGGAATTGGTATTACCTGGCCATGTTGTCCAACAATATTGAAATGAGATCATGTTAAAAGTCGGCACGTCCGGAATGGTATGCAATAGCGCGACCGGACCCCATGGCATCTTACTTATCAATCGCCTACTCACTCTCTCCCTCTCTCTCCCACGAGAGAAATTTCAAATAAGCAAGATAAATTAAGGGAATTAAACGTGAACCGGGCCGCGGCCGGTGACAAATCGTTTCTTCAAATTAGATAAATCGCGGATTAAAGGAATGTGCGCTCGGGGATTATGAGTTGAAAAAGACACTTACCTTAGGCAACGCCTTTGACGTCCGCCCTATCGACTTCACCTGATCTTAATCAGGATTTACAAAATCGCTTCTAAATTATAAAAAATCCAAAGCGATAATTTGTTATAGGAGTTGCGAATCATTAAAATACCTAATATCAATATATCTAATTTTAGAAATTAGAAATGCAGTGGTCGCCGCTTATAAGTCTCAAGGATATAAGATTCAGTCGCTTATAAGACTCAGATTTGCCAGAAACAGTCCGGACGTATCCGAATACATTAAAAAAAATCTCTGTTCACTTAGTTTTTTCCACCGTTTTGCATACCCTCAACCTGGTCTCCATGGAAATATACTGCTAATATCTGCTAACACTACTTCACTGATGCAGCCGTGTGACCAAGGAATCATTCGAACCTTTAAAGCATGTTACAGGTTACTACTCTCTTGTATAGTAACATCAATCTTTACGACTTTATTTTTATTATACTATAAAATCGTGAGGAGCAGTCTAGAATGAGGTAGTTTAGAAAAACACTTTTTTTCGACGTTTCGGCCTTTATTCGGGTCATCTTCAGGGCATAAAATGTGGATCGAGTCTTCTGGTGTCATATTGATTTTGTGTGAAAGTGTTGTCAAATGTCTCATAAAACGAATATGACACCACAAGAATAGCACCAGACTTTATGCCCTGAAGATGACCTGAATAAAAGTAGAAACGTCGGCAACAAAAAAAGGTGTTTTTTTCTAAACTACCTCATTCTTGACCGCTCCTCACGACTTCAACAAATTATTAAACAACCGGTCACTAAGAAACTCACTTTTATTATACTAATTATAATTTTTAAAAAGGAAAATTTAAGGTAATTTGGTTGTTCAGTATGTTTATTATATTTTTTTTTTTTTCATTTTTACGTTGTATTTCCCATATTTTCATGCCTTTTTTATTAGGGTGAAGATTGATTTTACAACTTCTGTTTTGTAATTTTTTTATCTGTTTACTTAGCTATTTGGTCCAAATTTTCTGCTTTGGTTGTTCGCTATGTTTATTGTCTATTTTTTATATATATTTTGTTTCATTTTGCTTTCGAGTTTTTTTTTTAAGTTAAAGTTGGAAAATACATTTTCCTGTGACAAAAAGTTTAATTTCAAGCGTAACTCTATTACCCCATTTTCACACCATCACCACTTTTTTCCCAATTAGTACAAAATTTCTCCATTTTAATTCTCTAGTTTTTTAATCAATTTTTTTTGACAAAACAGTTTTTTGACAGATTTAGTGTTTGTTTTTTACCAAATCAAATTAATATATGCAAAAGGGTTGAGAATCGGTCCATGGTTTTTTTTAAGGTGTAGAAGCACCTGATGAATTTTGTCATTGATGCAGCCGTGTGACCAAGGAATCATTCTAACCTTTAAAGCATATTACAGGTCAAAAATGAGAGAAAAAAACTTATCGCTCTTATTGACGAAACCTTGGACTCTCAGTCAACTTTATCTTCAAATTCGACTTTGAAGGCTAACGACGCGCCAAGAAAATCTATCCACCTGGCCAATGAAGCGTGGTTGAAAGAAACGTTAGTGATGTGACCATTGGAAACTGCTTTCGGCTCCGTTTTGTCAAAGATGAAGAGCTGGAGAAGGAGGAAGCTGATAGCTGCCATATTGAGACGTCAGAAGACCTTACTGTGAGGAACTACGAGGATTGGATATCGACCACAATCTTCAAACCTCTGAAGCGTATCCTGAGGACCAAATCTGCCAGTCGTCATGAACGAAGCCAAGAGCAGCAACACATCGGATGGTAGGTACGATGACGATGTTGACGAGGAGACCGATGAAGTCGAAGTTCCACCTTCCAACTTACAGGTGCTAAGGGCTCTAGGGCTGTTGAGAAAAGCTGTCCAGCACCACGGGACCAATTTTCAAAAGCACTACGATTATGAGAAGTATATTATTGAAATGCTGGAAAATAACAAAAACAAACAAAAGTGACAAATTTCTTTAAACCATCTTAAATTTTGAATTGATTAAGTATGTACGTATTGGAAGGCTTACCTTTACTTTATAGATGAATGACACGCTATGTCTATATGTTTTGACAGGAAAAATAAAGTTTGTGCATTACATCCATTCATCTGCTTACAAAACTCATTTTTTGCTGGTCCCAAAGTGAGTCTTATAAGCGGCATCCACTGTAAGTGCTTTAAACTGGATTTGAATTATGAAAGAGATTTCGTAATAGTTATTGAAATGTTAGGTGTTTATAAGACATTATTGTTCGTCGGAAATTAAATATTTAAGGACCACATCCCTGATCCTCGAATATCGTGAAACGTTGGAAGATCTGCGAGGTGATAAACCATCAGACCATGGCCAATTACCGATTGATCGGACTACAAAAGCAAGCCAGGGAGAGTTGCACGGACGAATAATTAATTAGCAAGCATCTCAAGGGTCTGCTATCAGATAGCTAGGCAGCTGTAAGACTAGTTTCCCACGAGGGTGTTTTTATTCACCTGAGTCCCCTGTCAACTAGTTCCGCCGTGTGAAGACTTTTCTTGGCTCGTTTCACACCAGACAAAATCTCTTTCAAAATGGGAATTCGGTACGATGCTAGAACCCGAAGAAGCAGGACCACTTCAGGCACTTCTATTCCGCATGTTTGGCAAGCTCGATGCTGTTGAAATCTGGATAACATCTGCCTGCCACTTCTCTCCACGCTTCACTTATTTATTCAGAAATCGTGAGATGCGGTCTGGTGTGATGTAGGTTTCAAAAAAACATTTTCTTTATCGTGCCAACATATCTATGATTGCAAAAAAACCAAGCAAAATCCTAGCACTCGCTACCCACCATTTTGAACACCAACACAAGTTCGACTTCAAAAATCCAAAAGTATTACATACAGAACAAAACAAACATAAACGGAATTTCTTAGAAATGGTTTATATCAACAGAGATAAACACAGCATCAATTACAGAACATGTAAACTCAGTCGCAGCTACGCCAATATCATTAATCAAATTCAATATAGATAACATACATATATCATTACATTACATTCCACACATCAAATATTTTTCATAATCTAATTGTCCAACAATTTAGCTTTCCTTTTCCTATTTATCCCTTTTTATATAATCCTGAAAGTATAATCTGGCCGAACCATTACCAATACATTGTTTCCCTTCGTCGGCTCTTTTCACCTCAAAGAAGCTGACGCCTTATACAAAAATGTCGCAAGAATGGCACAATTACACAGAAGACAAACACTTTGAGTGAGTAGAAATTCTTTGATTGAATATAAAAAATATATTTTGCATTGTATAAATTCACTTTTCCACATCCTAAACGTAATTGTGAAATGTAAACAGTGTTTGTAAAACCCAGGCCCTGAAGATGATCTCAATAAAGATCGAAACGTTAGCACGATAAAGAAAATGTTTTTCTGAAACCTACATCACACCAGACCGCATCTCACGATTTCTGAATAATTATCGATTAACGGTCACTAATCACCACACGCTTCACTTATTTTACTTTTATCACAATATTTATTACACTTCATGTCCCATTTCAAGGAATTTCTTCAATAAACAGTTCTACGTTGAAATTTTAAGTAGGGACGCTGTCGGTAGTGAATTCAACTAAGTGACCAATGTAAAGGGCGAATACAGCCTAGTGTCTTTTGAGTTCAGTCCTTCAACTAACCACCTTTCAAGAAAGAGGCATAACGCTCGTCCAGCCTAAAGGATCAACTCAAAACTAGTCTGGAACATTGGGTTTTCAAAGAATACAACAAATACTGGGGACATGTGCTAGGCATAGGAAAAGACTAGACGCAAAAACACCCAAACGGGAGAAAGAATTCCTAGTCAACAAAAAGTATCAAAAATCTTAACAGATATATTTACAAGACATTCTCCAAGACTCTAAAAAGTTGGAAATATCTGAATACCCTAAAAACCCATGAAAAGCCAAACACTAAGGTTCCAGGTCATGAGGGAATATCAAGCAACAAGGCAGCAGTCATACTAGGAAAAAGATGAACTTCGGCACAAAATTACATAAGAATTGGAATATAGGATTACCTAAAAACCCAACAAAAACCGTATGCTAGGCATGGGGAGAAGACTACTGGCAAAAAGAACCTGATAAGACCCCTAAGTGATTAAAAACACTAACTAACCTAAACTCTGTTTTTAACTCCGATCTCATCATAGTTGTTGACATTGTAGTTTTGTAACTTTCCGTCAATTTCATTTTTTCGGTAAATGTAGGTTCGAAATAACTGTCTTAACGGTCCCTCCGGATACAAACGATCTGCTAAAGTTACTGGTAGTAGAAACTAGAGGAAGGAGAGTGGGCACCTGCATCTCGATCCTGGATTTCTAGCTGACAATTATTCAAATATCACTCGCGCCTACCTGAATCCATGATCCAAGTCCAATACAATTACGACATAACACAGTATTTACAAGTTAATGAATATGTAACGCATCGTTTGTCCCATTGTAAACTAAACTGCCTATAAATTCTAGGCGTAAATTAGACCGTTTTATATTAGGGGGATGCCCAGTTGTGTAACAAGACTGTAAACTAAAATTCTTTCTTATCTCCAGGATCGGGGACATTATTCAGATATAAATTATACATGCAAAACCGCACCCCATCCCTTCCCATTATCATAATATGTACTCATGGCTTTTTACCATATTTTTTGGGGGATGTTTCCTAATATTTTCACCCGGCCGCCGTGGTTTTTGTCGAAAACAGTATCTCGCATCAGCCGAGAGGGTCGGGGCTGTTTTTTTATGTAGGTTTTACTCCCCTTCCGAAAGGGCCGTTGCTTTGGAACTACCCGCAAATCGATGCATGACAGGCATTAAACGATGTCTTATCAACTGCAATTAACGTTTGACCTGTTTGAACGACGGTAAAGCGTTTCAACTCTTCCGAAAATCGATTAATTCTATGGGATTTAGTTCTATTAATTTTTATTTTTTTAATATTAACAACATAAAACTAAATATGTCAATATTGTTCTTAGTTACTACACTCAAAGACAAAAACCGGACACTTGTTTGTTATTTCAAACTATATGTATTTTTATCGCTGTTAATTACACAACATGCTTATTTTAATGTAAACCAATATAACTTATGATTTTTCCTTCTTGAAGGTGGGTAGGTCATCTCATAAAAACTACAACCAGTTTTTATCCACGTTTCGGATTTATTTTAATCCTTCCTCGGGTGAGTTAACGCAATGGTTAAAACAGCGGTCCTCAGTCATTAATATTTTATAACAGTTTATTTTAAAAAAGAGCCAATCTAGTCAGGTTCAAAATATTAAAACGTTTGTTCGGAGTCTGAAAGACTTAAATATGTACCACACTGGCTTTTTTTTTAAATAAACTGTTCTAAAATATTAATGACTGACGACCGCTGTTTTAACCATTGCGTTAACTCACCTGAGGAAGGATTAAAATAAATCCGAATCGTGTGAATAAAAACTGGTTGTAGTTTTTTTTTTTAGATGACCTATTATCCCACCTTCAAGAAGGAAAAATCATAAGTTATATTGTAATGTAAAAATATGTATATATTTTTTTAACTCTTAATTTTTCTGTTCCATGTTGTCTACCAACTGCAGAATGGGGTAAGTGTTATATTATTTTAATATTATTGATCATTTAAAATATTTTTAGTCTTTTATTTTAAATTGATTTACAACATAAAGGAAAAAGTGAACAATGCTGAAGAACAAATTTCCATGTAGATTAAGACAAGAGATAGATTAAGATACTTATACGACAAACTAATTCACCTAATAATTTCATGTCAAAAAGAGTTAATAAGAATTTAAAAAGGGTTAATTTGAAGTTTAAAAAAAAGGATAAATTGAAGTTTAAAAAGGTTGGTGTGAAATTCAGAAAGGTTGATTTGAAATATAAAAGCATTAATTTGAAATTAAAAAATGTTAATATGAAATCAAGAAAGGTTGATTCGAAATATAAAAGGTTTCATTTGAAGTTAAAAAAAGGTTAAATTCAAGCTGTAAAAAAGTTAATTTAAGGAGGGTTAATTTGAAGTTTAAAAAAGGTACAATTGAAGTTTAAAAAGGTTGGTGTGAAATTAAGAAAGATTGATTTGAAATATAAAAGCTTTAACTGGAAATTAAAAAATGTTAATTTGAAATCAATAAATGTTGATTCGAAGTATAAAAGATTTCATTCGAAGTTTAAAAAAAAGCTAGTTGGAGGCTTTAAAAAAGTTAATTTGAAGTTTAAAAAAGGGGTAAATTGTACTTTAAAAAGGTTGGTGTGAAATTCAGAAAGGTTGATTTGAAATATAAAAGCATTAATTTGAAATTAAAAAATGTTAATTTGAAATCAATAAAGGTTGATTCGAAGTATAAAAGGTTTCATTTGAAGTTAAAAAAAAGGTTAATCTCAAGCTTTAAAAAAGTTAATTTGAGTTTAAAAATAGGGTAAATTGTAGTTTAAAAAGGTTGGTGTGAAATTAAGAAAGGCTGAGTTGAAATATAAAAGCTGTAATTTGAAATTAAAAAAGGTTTATTCGAAGTACAAAAGGTTTCATTCGAACTTAAAAAAAGTGTTAATTTCAAGCTTTAAAAAAGTCAATTTGAAGTAAAAAAGGGTTAATTTGAAGTTTTAAAAAAAGGGTAAATAATAGTTCAAAAAGGTTGGTGTGAAATTAAGAAAGGTTAATATGAAATCATTAAAGGTTGATTCGAAGTATAAAAGTTTTCATTTTATGTTAAAAAAAGTTAATTTCAAGCTTTAAAAAAGTAAATTTGACGTTTAAAAAGTTAATTTGAAGTTACAAACGGTTAATTAGACGGGAAAAAGATATTTACTCCCGCGGTTCAAATCGGCTATACTAAGGGATTTTTTATATTGAAGACTCTTTTCACATATTTACCTTTGTTATTATATGTATAACTTTATGTATATGATTTCCCTTTAGAGGTATGGTTATGGACATTGACGTTTGATCGCTGTCTTCTTCATGTTTCGGCTTCTCACCATCTTCAGGAGGTGTTGATAGATTACCTAAATTATACTAAAAGTAGTGAACGTTGAAAAGATTGAAAATTATTTTAATTATGAAAAGAACAATTAAACAATTCAGAAAGGCGAGTTTATCATGTTTATGAGTTTTTTTACACAAAGATTAAGATCATCTCGGAATGAAAAACATCTCGTTTTTTAACAGAAGTTCAATTGCAGCATTGAATACATTATGAAAATATTCATTAAAGGGTAGTAGATACCATGACACTTAAATATCAAAAATACCTGTTAACATAAGTTCCGATTGTCCTATAAATAGACGACAAAGGTTCGTGTTCAAAACACCCTTCCAAGATGCTCTTAGTCCTGTTTTCTGAGATGGGTTTTAAAACGCCGGGTTGTATTAAATCCCAGCTGTTAAGCCGATATTAAAGTCGCCGAGGAGACAATAGTGCACATGTGCGCTTCCTCCCCCATCCGTACTTCTGTTTTTGAAACACACCCCCCGCAACCCTCGACATCTGTAACAGAATTGTATTAAAACGTGTCCGAGGGAGATGAGGATAAAAGGGGTGAGCGATTTCACGGGAGTCGAATTTTTAAACTTTATTTTCCCTTTATACAAACCGGAAGAATAATTCCGGTCTTATTTTAAGAGCTTTAAATCTAATCTGGTTTTTTTTTCTACCCAGCCTAAAATATTTTAATTGACTCTGGATTAACGAACAAGGACTGGTTATTGTTGGTTATTGTTGGACATTATTGTTTGGTCGTTGCCGATCCTTTTAGGTTATAAGACTCGTCTCCGAACCAACTAACTACAAATTATAAATAGTTCTAATAATAAATTATCATTTTGAACTAATGTCTTGAGGTACCTGGTACTTTTAGCTCGAGTAATTTTATGTGAGCCAGGTTAAGAGCTGATGATCTTTTTCGAAAATTCTAATTATTTTTTCTTTAGGAACCACATAACTAAATGTTTTTGGATTTGGCGATTCGTACGACTAGGGTGTTTTACAACTTGTATGAGAATTTAGTAGTATGACATCCTTATAGTCCCGAACCATAATGCGATTTGGTTCTCAGGTACCGAACTCAGGGTCTTTCACCAAGATAAGGTGTGATAATTGTGTTTGATTTTGAACTAAATCAATTGAAAACTGAAATGATCGTAAATGACCAAAAGTAAAATTAAATTTCAATTAAGTAAACATCGCAGATCACATAGCTTTCACAACGAATTATTCTTTTTTAATTTCGAATTAATACCGTTTTAAAAACAAACTAAACTTTTTAAATTTCTAATTGACCTTTCTTTAACTTCAGGTTAACCCATTTTATATTTTTATTTTATTTAATTGTATATAAATGTTAATTTTGATGGTCATTAATTTTCATATGGTCTTCTAAAAGCCCAATTATTTTATATTTTAGAAATAACGTAATTTCACTTTACATTCTTCTTTATATTTCATGTCAATTACTAAGGTTTTATTGCTTTAAAGAGAGGGTTAATTTAAAGTTAATAAGTGTTAATATGAAGTTAGAAAGGTTAATATGAAATTTTCTTAATTAACTATTAATCTTTTTTAACTTCAAATTAACCCTTTCTTTAAAGCAATAAAAAAATGTAGTAGTCGGTATGAAATATAATGAAGAAGAAAGTAAATTCTTTATGTTTCATGCCAACTACTAAATTTGTTTATTGCTTTAAAGAGAGGGTTAATTTAAAGTTAATAAGTGTTAATATTAAGTTAGAAAGGTTAATATGAAATTTTCTTATCTACGAATTAATCTTTTTTAACTTCAAATTAACCCTCTCTTTAAAACAATAAAAAATTTAGTAGTTGGCGTGAAACATAAAAAGAATTTACTTTCTTCTTCATTATATTTCATGCCGACTACTACAATTTTTTTATTGCTTTAAACAGCGGATTAATTTGAAGGCAGAAAAGTTTCATTTAACGTTAAAATGGTTAAAATCTAATTAACAAAGATTAATTTGAAGTTAAAAAGTTTATAATTTTTAGTTTTTATTGTATTTAATGTTCATATGGTCTTCTAAGAGGCCGATTTGAAGACATGTTTAAAAAATCTCATGTAAAAGGATCATTTATTTTTATATTTAACTGTACATAAATATTAATTTTGATTGTAATTAATTTTCATATATTCTGCTAAAAGCCCAATTATTTTATATTTTAGAAACAATCCGCAAAAATACAGAAATTTTACTTTACATTCTTCTTTACATTTCATGCCAACTACTACATTTTTTTTATTGCTTTATTTAGCGGATTACTTTGGAATTAAAAAGTTTCATTTAACGTTAAAAATGGTTAAAATCTAATTAACAAAGATTAATTTGAAGTTAAAAAGTTTATATAATTTTTAGTTTTCATTGTATTTAATGTTCATATGGTCTTCTAAGAGGCCGAATTGAAGACATGTTTAAAAAATATCATATAAAAGAATCATTTATTTTCATATTTCATTTTACATAAATGTTAATTTTGATTGTAATTAATTTTCATATATTCTGCTAAAAGCCCAATTATTTTATATTTTAGAAACAATCCTCAAAAATACAAAAATTTTACTTTACATTCTTCTTTATCGCTCGTGCCAACTACTAAGTTTTTCTTATTGTAAAGAGAAGGTTAATTTGAAGTTAAAAAGTGTTAATATGAAATTTTCTTATCTACGAATTAATCTTTTTTAACTTCAATTTAACCCTCTCTTTAAAGCAATAAAAAATTAGTAGTTGGCGTGAAACATAAAAAGATTTTACTTTCTTCTTCGTTATACAGGGTGAATTGCTACTCGTGCTACAAACTTCTCCAGTAGATTCTTCACCCTAAAATGAACAAAAAAGTTCATATTGTCCATGGTCCGATTCTCAACCATTTNGAGAATCGGACCATGGACAATATGAACTTTTTTGTTCATTTTAGGGTGAAGAATCTACTGGAGAAGTTTGTAGCACGAGTAGCAATTCACCCTGTATATGCCAACTACTACGTTTTTTTTTATATCTTTAAACAGAGGATTAATTTGAAGTTAAAAAAGATTAAATTAACGTTAAAAATGGTTAATATGTAATTAGGAAAGATTAATTTGAAGTTAAAAACAGTTAATTTAAAGTTAAAAAGGTAAATATGAGATTTAGAAAGGTTAGTTTGAAGTTAAAAATGTTAATTTAAAATACAAAAGGGTTAATTTGAAGTTAAAAAAGTTATATGAACTTTAGAAACTTAATTAGAAGTTAAAAGAGGGTTAATTTAATTCAAGTGGGGTATGCTAAGGCATTTTTTTTAAATTGAAGTCTCTTTTCACACATCTATCTTTATTGTTTATTGATTAGACATGTTTGTAATTTTATTTATAAGATTTCTCTTTTGAGATATGTATGTTGATGAACCTCAAGTTTAGTCGTTTTCGATCACTTCAGTCTGCATTTTTCTTCCTGTTTTGGTCTGTTAGGCACGTTTCGGCTTCCCGCTATCTTCAGTGGAGGGGTTGTACGATTACCTAAATCATACTAAAAGCAATGAATATTGAAAGAATTTAAAATTTATTTGAAATAGTAAAAGAAACAATTATTATTGAAATTTGTTCT